CTTTCTTCCCCAACACAGAGAACAAGCCGCGCTATGTTCCTCTTCGGAGAGGAGCCAAACCCAATATTAATTTTTTCTTGGACCTCAGTGTGGCAAAGAGAAAGGAGAGCGAGTGGCACGCTTGCCTCTGCCATTTCTGCAGGGAGAAGCGGGAGCGGAACAAAGCCCAAGTGAGCGCCGTGTCTGGGAGGGAGCCCCCCACCCCGTGCCCAAGCCCCTGGTTCTCCCGCCTCCTTCTCCCGCGAGCCAGATCTGCTGCGTGCCCAGCCTGGCCAGAGACAATGGCGGCCCTGAGACTGCGCCCTGGCCTGTCAGCCCTGCCGAGGTCCACACCCCACGCAGCCGCCCGCCCCCCGATGCAGTGACACAGAGGGAGATTGTCCAGGGTGCCGTCCGCACGTCCCCGCCCCCAGCCTGTCCTCTAGCCCGGGGCTGGCCTCTGACAGCCCAGCCACCAGGGAGGCCCGCGGGCTGCAGCCCCAGAGCAGATCCCGGGAGTTGCCCTTCCCCCCTCTGCCCCCGTTCACAGCCGCATCATCTCTGCCGTGCCCCCTTGCCCATGCACAGCCTCCCCGTCAGCTCAGCCCTGCTGCTTGAACCCGCCTCCCCCAGCCCTTGTGGAATAAAATCTGAACTCGTGGCTCCCGAGGCCCTGCGTTACCAGGTCCCTGCCCGCCGCCTCCAGCTGGCCCCATTCCCACCCGTGCTGGCCTGCTGCCACCCTGGCCTCTCAGACACACGGACCCAATCCTGCCCCAGGGCCTTTGCACCTTCTTCCCATGCTCCCAGAGATGCTGTATCCCAGATACAGCCCCAAATTCCAGCTGAATTTTTTTTCTTTCCAACCAAGAAAACAAGCCCACGGGCCAGTTCTGACCCATTTTGCTGCTTCTGATCTAGGGCTCTGGCCTCCACATGTTTCCTTTCTCTTGCAAAGCGTGGACTCCCTCAGGGACTGACAGAGGGGCCTCTTGCTGCTTGGTTGGGCCCCGTGTGATGAGTGGCATGGGGACTTGGTCCCAGTGCAGGACGCGCGTCGTCTGGGAGTGGGGGTGCACCTGCCCGCCTCCGTCTTTCTCCTGAACTCCATCCTTCCCGGAGGCCCCGATGGAGTCTCTTTCTGGAATCTGGATCTGGTCACGTGATCACCCCGCCCGCGCACCTGCAGCTGGGCCCTAAGTCCTCACCCCGGCGCGAAAAGCCCTTTTCTACATTGGCTCTGGCGTTTGCCCCGACCTGGGGTGCTTTTTCCATTTGCACGAACCTGAGGAGCACCGGTTCAACCTTCAAACCCCAGGGCGAGTGGCCCCTCACCTGGGCCCCTCCTGGGCCGAGCTGCCTCGTTGCTTCTCCTCTTCAGAGCCTTGTTCACCACAGCGCAGTGGATCAGCTGCGGCAGAAGTGGTTCCCCAGATGGTGACCTGGCCGGGCAAGGCCCTCACCTCTCCACCCCTCGTGTCCTGTGCCTGCCCCGGCTCCGTGCACAGAGCAGGTGCACCCAGCAAGCACTAGCTGACTCACAGCCCTGCCAGCACCTGGCGTGCGCCCCCCAGGTCCTCGCTGCGTGATGAGCAAGTGGCAGAGGCCAGAGGACTGATCTCGCCTCCTAGGGTCGTTTATCTGCGGAGCTTTGGAGGAATTCAGTTCGTGGGGCCCACTCAGTGCCCAGAGGGCCGTGTGGCTGGACTCTTGGCCTGCAGGATGTTGTCGCCTGATGAGATGGGGCCAAAAGCTGCTGGGAGGAGGCCACGCCTCTTCCTCCCACCTGCTCCACCAGCAGGTAAAGGAGTGTCTCAGGCCGGCGCTCCCCGTGCGTGGCCACATCCTTGGAAGCTGTCCCCAAAAGCCACGGGCCCTGGGCTGCGTCTCAAGAAAGGCAGGAATGACTGGGACGCGGGGCCCTGCCGCGAGCTTGCCCACACCTGCTCCCTGTGTGTCCTTTCCACCAGGGAGGGAGGGGCAGGGGAGACGCCCATGCCAGGAATTCGGGGTCCCAGGTGTGCGCCTGAGTGCCGCTGCCTGGGAGCTCTCTGGGTTGGGCACCCGGTCCCCGGCTTGCCGGGTCCTCGCGTGGACGAGCTGGTTGGGGTGCTTTCCCCTGCTCCACTTCATTGTGGAATCACTTTTCTGCGATTGACCAAGCGTGCAGATGTGCCGCTCCCAGCCCCCATCGGGCCCAGGGTGGCGGGTGAGGCCGCTGCACGTTCCCAGAGAGAGGCTGGGCTCCCGTTCCCACCGGGCTTCCGAAGATGCGCAGAGGTGCCGAGGACCTGGATGGCACGCGCTCGGCGCTCGGACAACGTCCCTCGCCGTCCTCGTCATCACTGCTGGGGCCCGGAGCCGGGGTGAGCGCTGTGGCTGCCTGGGCAGGGGCCGCCTGACGCCTCTTGGCCTCAGCGCTTCTGATCCTCAGCACAGCCCCAGGAGGGAGCTGCTTGTATCTCCCCGTCACAGAGAGGAAAAGTCAGCCAGCATTCGTGGTGGGCGGACACGGCCAGGGGCCGTCTGACACAGCACGGGGAGAGTCCAGGACCCCACGGGAGCGCCAGTTGCATCCCTCAGCCTCTGCTTCCTGTAGCTTCCCTGGTGCGTTCCACGCCTTCTGCAAGGCTCGCTCCACTGGGGCCGTGCGACTCCTCACAGGGAAGCTGCAGGCCTGCGCTGGACCCGGCCACGCGCTCCTGTGCTTGGGCCTTGCACACCCAAGAGGTCCCTGTTCAGTGTCTTCCTGGGAGGAGCACCTGCTGGGGGTGGGCAGAGAGCTGGGCGGCACCAGGAGCCTCCGTGCCGGTGTAAGATGGGGAAGGGGGTTGGGGCTGCAGTAGCCAGGTGCCCTGGACTGGCTTGGGGGTGACAGACAGATTTCCAGGCTCATGGTTGTGGAGGCTAGGGTGGCCAGGAAGGGGGGGTCTCCCTGTCTGACGGGGGTCTTCTTGCTGTGCCATAACGTGGCAGAGGTGGAAGGCATGGTGAGAGCAAGGGAGCAAGTGCCATTGATAACCAGCCCACTGCTGAGATAACCAGCCCGCTCCCGAGGTAACCAATGCACTCCCAAGGTAACCAGCCCAGTCCTGATAACCAACCCACCCCCAGGATAACCAACCCACTGCTGAGATAATCAGCCCGCTCCCAAGGTAACCAATGTACTCCCAAGGTAACCAGCCCAGTCCTGATAACCAACTCATCCCCAGGATAACCAACCCACTCCTGAGGTAACCAACCCACTCCCAGAATAACCAGCTCATTCCCAGAATAGCCAACCCAGCCCCTGGATAGCCAGCCCACTCCTGGGAAAACTAACCAAGCCCTGGGATAACCAATCCTGTTCCGAGAAAACAACCCAGTGTTGAGATAACCAGCACACTCCTGAGGTAACCAGCCCACTCCCGAGATAACCAATGCACTCCCAAGGTAACCAGCCCAGTCTTGATAACCAACCCATCCCCAGGATAACCAGCCCACTGCTGAGATAACCAGCCCACTCCTGAGATAACCAACCCACTCCTGAGGGCAGAATTCCCATAGCCTGATCACCTCTCAACCCTGCTGCACCAGGAATTGAGCTTCCAGGGGCTGAACTGAACTTTGGGGGCTACTTCCAGCCCAGGGCACCCACCTGGCTGCCTGCAGGGAGCCCCCTGTCCACCCGCTGGCTCTGGGGGCTTCCTCCTCGCACACTGAGCCTGCTACCTTGGGACGCGATGGGCAGAGGAGGCTGCCTTGGAGTCCCCAAGTCGCTCGCAAGACTCGCCCACTTCCTCAGTCCCAGACCAGATTCCCCGGGAAGGAGTTTGATTGGCTAGCCTGGGTCAGGTGATCAGCCATGGCCCGAGGTGATTGGATCGTTCTGAACCCATCGTGGAGTGTTAAGGACTTGGTAGCTGAACCCCCAAAGGGGTGCACTATAGCCTCCGCCCCTTTCCAGAGGCTGCCCCCAGCCCCCTAAGGTCCCCCAGGACTGCCCGGTAGGCCATGGCGCCTTCCACTTCCTGCCGCACTGGAGCTGGGCGGCGGCCTCTCGCGGAGTCCGGAGCTCTGAGGCTCCCAAGCGCCCGCGTCGGGACCTGGACGGGCATCCAGGAGCCGCCCGTGGGCCGTGCAGGAGCTCAGACCCCGCGGGGGCCGTCCTGGGGCCGAGGAGCGGACCGGCGTTCCAGGCTGGGCTGTGCGAAGGCGGTCCGGCTCCCCTGGAGCTCCGGGAGTGGACAGTGGTGTTTGGTAACGGGGGCTGCACGCGAGGGCGCTGCGGGCACAGCGGCCTGGCGGAGGCCACGGGGAGGCGGGCGGGGCCGGGCCCGCCCTGCGCTTTGCTTTGGCTCAGCTCCTACCTCTGCGAAGCCCCGGGCCAGTGCTGCCCCCACTCCTGCCAGTTGGTGCTGAGGGTCCCCTGCGCCTGTTTTGCGTTGCTTTATTCACGGAAAGCTCCTTTGTAGAAGTCAGGGAAATAAAAACCAAGCGCAAAGAGGGCACGGAAGTCACTCAAACTGACCCCTGACCCCCGCTGACGTCACGGGCTGCTGGGTTCTTCTTGCTTTGGTTTGTAAGTGAGCAGATTTGCAGGGAGAGGGCCGATGCGGGGTCATTCGGAAGCAACTGTTCTGAAACCTGCTTTTCTCCACAAAGCAAGGTGCTCTTGCCCGCGTGCCCACGCCTTGGCTGCGGAGCGGACAGGACGCAGCTGCGGTGGCGTTGGGCCCGGGAGGCTGCAGCCCCACTCTGCTGGGTTCCTGTGTCCTCTGATAAAATCACGGAGCCTCCGCCTCTCAGCGCCCCCGTGGCCCTCCCCTCCACGGCTGTCCCCGGGCCGCCGGCCCCTCCCCAGCATGTTCCCGCACCTGAGGGCCGGCTCCACGCTGCATGGACTCGCTGCGGTCACCCTGGCTGGGGACGCTCTGCCAGCCACGTGCACAGCCCAGACACCAGCAGCTTCCTGCCGCCCTGTCACCCTCTGTCCCCCAGCCCCGCCTGCCCGCTCACCAGCCTCCTCCCCTGCCTTGCAGACTGTCACCCAGGAGCCGCGTCCAGAGCCCTGTGAGAACTGACCCATCGCAGACAATCATCAGGTGAGTCCAGGTGTGGGGAGGAACGCACACCCACAGCTCCATAGAGGATCACCCCATTTCACAGATGGGGAAACTGAGGCTCAGAGCCATCCGCAGAGCCCTTAGCTGAGTTGGTTGAGGCATGCAGCTGGCCAAATGCAGCCCAGAGGCTTGAACTCAGGACTGCTCAGCGTCCAGTTTTGCACACTGTCCCCTGGAAGTAAAGAGGCGGGAGGGTGCAGGCTGCCTGTGGCGAGCCTCAGGGTGGCCGTGGCCAGCAGTGGTCGTCCACGTGTGGAGAGCCTGGGCTGCCAGCCCCAGCCCCTGCAGGTGTTGGGGGAGTAGATGGGAGGGCTGTGTCTGCCTTTCATCTAAACAAAGTGAAAAGCAAGAGCGGGCTGGGGGCCCCAGCAGCGCAGTGAGGGGGTCCTGCTCTCGTCTGCGTTGTGTGAGATCGGGAGCGGTGGAGACGCTTGCTCAAAGACACACACAGCTCCCACGTGGTGAAGGGACTTGGGGGAGGAGCTCGGGACCCCTGGGCTGCAGCACCACCCGTGGCTGGGACACCCCGTCTGCAGCTGCAGATGGAGCCCCTTTGCTGCCGTCCCGGACACTGATTATGGCCTTGACGAAGGGCAGATCCCCTATCGCATCGTCAGAGGCCAAGAGATCTTTCCTTACAGCCCTGGCGTTTGCCTTTGGAGGTCGCGGTCCTGGGCTTGCTCCCTGGGGCGGGACGCAGAGGCTGGAGCCCTGGAGCGCGTCGCCCCTCTGGCTTTGGGAGCCGAAGCTTCTCCTTCGCTCCAAAGCAGGGGCAGCAGGAGCGAGAGGGCTTTCAGGAGCCCACCTGCCCCGGCCCCCATCGGCTGCTCCACTTTTGTTATTTCAGGGCGAGGCCCCTGCAGCCCCCACTCCTCTCTGTCCTAAACCCCGGCCCTGTCCTTCCAGGGTGACCTTGAGCCGCAAAGCTGCTGTCCACGTGGACCGGGGCTGACGTTGCACGCCCACCTGCCAGGACCCCTGTGTGCAAACCCCGAGACATGGCGGCCAACGGCAGCAAGGTGGCCGACGGGCAGATCGCCACGGAGGTCAGCGAGGCCCCCGTGGCCAATGACAAGCCCAAGACCCTGGTGGTCAAGGTGCAGAAGAAGGGGGCGGAGCTTCCCGACAGGGACACGTGGAAGGGCCGCTTCGACTTCCTCATGTCCTGTGTGGGCTACGCCATCGGCCTGGGCAATGTCTGGAGGTTCCCGTACCTGTGTGGGAAGAATGGAGGCGGTAGGTAGCGGCCCCGTGGCTGCCCGCTAGGCCGGACCTGGGCATTTTCTGGGGCGCTGTACCAGGATAGGGCCACTGGAGACCCCAGGGGAGCCCCAGGCCCCGTACTTGCTCCTCACCTCTCTCACGGGTTCCCCTAGGACGATGCTTGTGTGTGAGCGGTACCCGGGGCAGGCATTTGGCTCGGGGTAAAGAAGCCACTCAGGGTGACCCATGTCCCTGGGTTTAGCCTCCTCCTGATGGGCACCTTGGAGGCAGCAGGGACTCAGGTACTCGGGCCCTGGATGGAGTTCCCATCCTGTGGCTTCAGCCTGGCCCAGCTTCGGCTGCAGTGGGCGTTGGACGGAGTAAACAGGTGGACGGTGGATGGAAGGCCTCTCTTTCTCTGTCTCTCTGCCTTTCAATTTTAAAAGTTTTTCATCTCCCCATCTGGCAGAGGACAGGCCTCCTCCTGGGTGCCCTGGGCCTCTCTGTTTGGCTGTGGGTGCTGCTTTCCAGGCAGAGGGAGAGGAAACCCTGGAGGGCAGCCTGGAAGCAGAGTGCTTCCCCTGACCAGAGGTAGGGGCCCGGCATGAGCCTTGCCTTCTCCACCCCCAGGGGCCTTCCTCATCCCCTACTTCCTGACACTCATCTTTGCTGGAGTCCCGCTCTTCCTGCTGGAGTGCTCGCTGGGCCAGTACACGTCCATCGGGGGGCTGGGCGTCTGGAAGCTGGCCCCCATGTTCAAGGGTGAGTGTGGCCAGGCCCCTGAAGCCAGCAGTGGCTAGGGAGTTGGGTGGGGCAGGGGAGAGGAGGGACTCCCTGCGCTCACTTCCTGGTGGGGCTTGGAGCCTGGCAGGCTCCCGGGACACGGGGGCGTCAGGTGTCCTGGCCTTGGGCCCTACCCTGCCTGAACCAGACGTGAGTCCTGGCTCCCTCGCCTGGGGGGCATGTGTGACCTGCCGGTCACCACCCAGCCCTTCATCTCCGTCCCGGTTGTCGAGGTGGCAGGGCCGCGGCCGAGTGGGCAGCAGCCGTGTGGCTGACGCTGCGTCCTGCCCACAGGCGTGGGCCTGGCCGCGGCCGTGCTCTCCTTCTGGCTGAACATCTACTACATCGTGATCATCTCGTGGGCCATCTACTACCTATACAACTCCTTCACCACGGTGAGCGGCCCCCGAGCGCTCCGGGGGCAGAGCGGGGTGGGGTTTCCCACAGCAGTCCTAGCCCCGAGCACCTTCTGTGGGTGCACACCTGCTCCCCACCACACCCCGTCTAAGATGGGTATGGTTGACCCACGGTGCACTGGCCTTGCTGGCCTGGGTTCAAATCCCGAGTCCACTCTCTGCCATGTAGCCTCAGCTAAGAGACTTCACCTCTTGGGGCCTTCATGGCCTCTTTCCGAAATGGGGACGACCTCGGCTCCCCAGGAGCTGGACACCGGGAGCCCCCTGTGACCCAGCCGTCCCCTCTCTGGGTCAGCACCCCAGGAGGAAAGCAGGGTCTCGAAGAGGGGCCGGCACACACGTGTGCACAGCGGCTCTACACAGTAGCTGAGGCCCGGGAGAGGACGGAGGGCTGAGGACACGGGCCGGGGCCTGTGTGCCCAGTGGACGTGAGCGTTTGAGGCAGGTGAGGCTGACTCGTGCCACCGCACAGGGGAGCCCCGAGGACAACGTGCAGGCGAAACAAGCTGGTCCCGGAAGAGGGACTCCTCGGGTTCCCCGCCCCGAGCCAGACTTCTGAGTGTACAGTGCGGGGGTGCCAAGTGCATCCCACTGCCACCCAGCCATCGCCCCAGCCAGCTCCAGCTGCCTTCCAGCCTACAGAACTGGGACCCTGCGCCCACTAAACACCAACCCCGCACTCCCTTCCCGGAGTCCCCGTGGCTCAGCACTTAGGACACGACCGCGGTGCCCGGGCCCTTGTGGGAGTGCTGAGGTTTGAATCCCAGCCCTGCACCAAATTCCACCTTCCTGCTCACGTGCACCCCAAAGGCAGCGGGTGATGGCTCAAGGAGTTGGGTCCCTGCTGCCCACGTGGGAGACCCAGATTGAGGTGTGGGTTCCTGGCTTTCGCCTGACCCAGCTCCAGCTGTTGCAGTCATTTGGGGAATGAACCAGCAGATAGGCAATCTATTCTCTCTCTCTCTCTGCCTTTCAAATAAATAAGATAAATCTTAATTAAAAAAAAAAAAAACTTGGAAAGAGACAAAAACGTGAAACCAGCCTCCCTGGGTCCTCAGGATCTCACAGTGCTGAGAACCGGGCCTGACAGACAAGATGCCGGGGCTGGCCATGCTGGCCGTACTGGCCGTGCTGGCTGTGTCACAGAAGGCAGCGGGCGAGGCCCCTTGGTCAGGGCGGCAGAGCTGGAGAGTGGCCCCAGGGAGGGCACAGGAGGCCCGGGGTGCAGTTTGGAGGGCTGGGTCTTGGAGTGAGCAGGGAGCGCTCCCCTAGCCGCTGTGTGACCTGGAGCAAGATGCTGCCCCGTTGTGATCACGGTGCCACCTGCCCACCCAAGCCGTTGGCAACGAGAGGCGGGACTGTGGCTTCCAGGAGGTTTGGGATACCCTGAGGGCGGCCAGGGAGAGCTGGGCCGTGTGCCAGGCCCTGGGGCCCCAGTGGGGTTTGGTCACACATCTGTGTCCTCGCAGACGCTGCCATGGAAACAGTGTGACAACCCCTGGAACACCGACCGCTGCTTCTCCAACTACAGCATCGTCAACACCACCAACATGACCAGCGCCGTGGTGGAGTTCTGGGAGTGAGTGCGGTGGCATGGGGTGCCGGGGCGGGCGGGGCCTGCAGGGGACATGGCAGCCCTCCAGATCGGGTGAGGGGACTATGTGCAGCATGGACAGGGCACCGGCACGGGCGGCGCCTCCCCTTTCCTAAAGAGAGCTGGACAGAGGACCAGGCACCTGATGCAAGCCATGGCCGCGGGTAGAGAAGCCCAGCTGGAGACCGAGCTGTGCAGCAGCTGGGGACACCTGGCCGTGGCATCCTGCCCTCTGCCTCTTGCCCCCTGCCAGCACCCCCAGTGGCCACCCAGTGCTAGCCAGAAGCCGAGGGACCTGTGAGGTGGCCGGAGCAGTCACCTCCTGGGGCGCAGTGCAGGGTGGAGAAGGTGGTGCGTGGACAGAGGGGGCCGCAGGGCAGGGAGGAGCCAGCACGCTGAGCGGGGCTCCCGGAGAGGCCAGTGAGGACCCGTCTGGAGGACCAGCCCAGGCCCAGTTGGCCCCTGCGTCCTGGGTCCCATAGGCAGTCCAGCGGACAGTGGACCCAAGATAGTTGAGAAAAAATTGCGTCTGTGCCGAGCGCGCACGGGCTTTCCTCTTGTGGTCTTTCGGGGAGCAGTGCAGTATCGCAGCTGTTTCCGTGGTGTGGACACGGAGCTAGGCCGTCGTGCAGAGGTGACTCCACGCCCACGGGAGGCCGTGGGCAGCTTCTGTGCACACGGGCACTGTTTTCTGGTGGGAGCTTGGGCACCTGCAGGGCTTTCATCTGCAAGAGGTTCCGGAAGCAGCCTCCTGCGGACACTGGGGGAGCGTGTACTGATAAACCCAGGTCGCCTGGAGTGAGCACATGTGCACACACATGCAGACACATACACCTGTGTTCACATTCATGCATGCACACACACATGCACGTGATGCAGACAGTGCGCATGTAAACACATTCACACAGACACCTGCACGCCAACACACATGAACACACGTGAACACACATGTTCACACATGACATGGACATACACTGGCACACCTGCCTACACGCACGTTCAGCTCATGTGCAGGCACACACAGAGACACACATTCTGGCTCTGGGAAGGCTGCGCTGATTCTGTTTCCCAGGGGGGCACCTCACAGATGTGTGTTGGGGCCTTACAACAAACGAGGTGCTGGGGTCCAAGTCTCTGTGGTGTGGAGGGATCCCTTGTGCTGGGAAGCTGGTGGGAGGCAGTGCACCAAGGCATGGAGGAGGTGAGAGCAGGCCAGGGACAGGTGGATGGGTGGCACGTGGCCCGGCCGCACGGCAGAGCCCTGAGACTGCAGACACGGAGCCGGCTCAGGAGGCCAGCCAGGGAGTGCAGCCTCATTCTGCAAAGGAGCGGGAGCTGTCCGTCTGTGGCAGGACCACGCAGGGCACCTGCACCCAGAGGGCTCCTGGGCTGGCGCAGGGCAGAGCAGAGGCAGCTGCAGCACCTGCTCTCCTTGAGTCGTTGCCCCTGGTACCAACACGATCCCTGGGGTAGACCACATCCCTGCCCATGCCCCAGCCCCCCCAAGTCCCAGCGGCCCTTGTGACATTCTGCCCCCTCCTCTCTGAGCAGGCGCAACATGCATCAGATGACTGACGGGCTGGACAAGCCAGGCCAGATCCGCTGGCCGCTGGCCATCACCCTGGCCATCGCCTGGGTCCTGGTGTACTTCTGCATCTGGAAAGGTGTGGGCTGGACCGGAAAGGTAAGGGCCTGGGCTGCCGAGGGAGCTCTGCTCAGGCAGGGAGTCCACAGCTCCTGGAGCCCCTTCCAAGCTGGGCACGCGCAGGCTCTCTGGACCTCAACCCCCTCCCCTGCACAGTGGGCATAAGGGCGCCTCCTACTCTCTAGAGCAGAGAGGATGCAGGAGCTGACACAGGTCGGGCTCGCAGCTCAGCTCACGGTGGGACCCTGGCGTTCTGCAGCCCCGGGCAGGTGCCGCTCATGGGCCACTCAGCCAACTTGCCCCAGGCACAGGGCCTCAGTTCCGGGCGCAGGGGCTCCTGCGATGAGGAACACAGGCGAGCAGGTTGTGACGAAGTCCTCAGGCCGTGTTTGCAAACAGGTCCGAGTTCAGACCCCAGTGGGGCTGATTCCTGGCTGGGTGACCTGAAGGAAGCCATTTCTCTCCGAAGCTCCGCTTCCCCTCTGCGGGATGGGGCTGGTGCTTACATACATCCGTTGCTGTTCGCTTCTCTTTTCTTAAGATTTGTTTATTTGACAAAAAGAGTGACAGAGAGACAGGCAGAGGGGAGAGAGAGAAAAAGAGACAGAAAGTAACATAGAGATGGGCAGGAGGGAGGGAAGGAGGGAGGGAAGAAAGGAGGAAGGGAGGGAGGGGGGAGAGAGAGAGATTTTCTGTCTGCCAGTTCACTCCCCAGTGGCCACAGTGGTCCAGGCTGGGCCGAGCCAGAGCCGGGAGGCGAGAACTCCATCCCGGGTTCCCACAGACTCGGGCCATGACCTGCTGCTTTCCCAGGCGCCTTAGCAGGGAGCCGGCTGAGAACTGGAGCAGCCAGGACTCCCACTGGTGCCCACACGGGATGCCGGCATCTGGCTTAACATTCTGCACCACAATGGTGGACCCTGTTGGGTTTGTTTTAAAGATTTATTTATTTATTTATTTGCTTGACAGGCAGAGCAGCAGAGACAGAGGGATCTTCCATCTGCTGGCTCACTCCCCAAATGGCCACAAAGGCTAAGGCTAGACCAGGCCAAACTCCAGAGCCAGGAACTCCACCTGGGTCTCCCGTGTACCTGGGCTATCATCCGCTGCCTTCCCAGGCGCATGAGCAGGGAGCTGGATTGGAAGCAGAGCAGTCAGGACCACAGCCGGCACTGTCACAAACAGTGGCCCCCACCGTGCCGGCCCCGCCACCGGTGATTCTAGACAGCTCTCAGCACCTAGCAAGGGGCTGTTGCTGTTTTGTCTTTATGATCAGGTCAGCAAGTACAGAGCGACTGCAAGCCGGGTGCCCCGTCCAGGGACATCTGGCAGGACAGAACTGGCCGCAGCTCCCTCCCCTCCCTGCCTCTCAGGCCTTATGCTGGGGGCTGAGGCCCGAAATTCCTGCGTTTCCTGCAGGAAGCGGAGGGGCAGGTGTGCTGTCCGAGGTCTCCAGGTCTCGCAGGGAGCAGAGGGGCAGCAGAGAGACGGGAACAGAAGAAGGCTAGGGACAGGTTGGGGCAGGGCCAGAACCCGCCAAAAAGCTGGCAGAACTTTCCAGAAGAAGGTGCAGAAAGAGACAAAACAGAGCCTTACAAAGCCGACACATGGGCCTGGGCAGAGGCACTGAAAACCGGAGACCCAGACCCAAGGCTGGTGCCCACGTCTCGGACCCGTGCCTGGGACGAGGGAGAGCTGGGCAGGGCCTGGTGTCTCCCGCTCCAGCTTCAGGGAGCAGGAAAGGGTAGCTTGAAGGGCGGTGGAAGCCCCTGGGAGCTGCTGTCCCCCGTGTACAGCTGTGCACTGCTGTGTGCTCCCTGTGCCAGCACCTTGTGGGCTCATCACAGCTCTCCTGTCCGAGCAGCCGGGCTGATTGAACCCATTTTCCAGATGAGAGAAACTGGGGCTCAGAGCACTGAGACACTGACCCAGCGGCTTCATTTTATCCCCTCTTCCCAATCTCAGGGACAATGGTTTGTGCAGACAGCAAGCAGCTTCCCTGGTCCTGAAGAAGCCCAGAGTGCAGGGAGGGAGAGAAAGCTGCCCCGAGGGAGACCCACGCTGGCCGGGAGCCAGGGGCCCCTGAGCCCTGACATTGAGTCTGAAACCGCTGTTCCACACCAGCGAGCAGAGAAACCATTGCAGGCTTTTGATGACCAATTTGGCAAAAACGGGTTTTTCAAATGATTATGCTCAGAGTTGGCACTGCAAGGGAGCCACCCTGTGCCACGCTGGGGGAAGTGCCATTTGCTTTCTTTAGAATGAAAAAATTGAGGGGCTGACACCGTGGCTCCCTTGGTTAATCCTCCGCCTGCAACGCCGGCATCCCATATGGGCGCCGGATTCTGTCCTGGGTGCTCCTCTTACAGTCCAGCTCTCTGCTGTGGCCCAGGAGGGCAGTGGAGGATGGCCCAAGTGCTTGGGCCCTGCACCCGCATGGGAGACCAGGAGGAACTTCCGTTTCGCCCCACGATGGCCCCTCTTCTCCATAGCCGCCCTCTGGGACTAACCAACAGAAGAAAGTCATTCTCTGTTTTCTATTCTTACTGTCTAGAGTTTTTCTGTCAATTGATTTTAAAAAAAATGAAAGGCATAATTACAGAGAGAGGAGGGCGAGAGAGATAGAGAGGGAGAGGGAGAGGGAGAGAGAGAGAGAGAGAGAGAGAGAGAGAGAGAGAGAGAGCTCATCGAGCCACTGGTTCACTCCCCAAATGGCTGTAATGGCCAGGGCTGGGTCAGGTGGAAGCCAGGAGCCTGGAGCTCCATCTGAGTCTCCCCCATGGGTGGCACTGGGCCAGCTCCTGCTGCTTTTTTGAACACATTGGCAGGGAGCTGGACCAGAAGTGGAGCAGTGTGGGATGCCGGTGTCACCCCGGCCTGTGTAACCCAGTGCACCACAACAGCACCGCCACCCCGAAGTGCCGATTCTGGAAGGAGTCGGGCGATGCTCAGACGCATCAAAAGCCCTTGAGAAGCCGTCGCTTTCTGCTTGATGATTCCACATCCAGACGTCTCTCCCAGGAGTGATACAGCCATTCTGTAGATAAAGGTTTATAAACAGGGGTGTTCAATGAGGCGCAGAAGATTGGAAGTCACCCAAATGGCTAACAGCGGGGCTGCTGGGAGAGGGTGGGGGCCTCCCTGGGGACCGTTTGTAGAATTAAAACTCACTGTTCAGGTGGCAGACGGTCTTCAGAGAGCAGACCGAGCACGCTGTTTTTCACCTTGAAAGCTGCTCACTGAGAAAGCAAGTGGCTGACTGGAGCCCAGTTTTCTGAGATGTGATCATCTATGCCGAAGAAGGTGTCTAAGAAGGAACAGTAAAATGCTGACAGCCCTGTGGTTGTGTATTTTTCAGACATTGATTGAGTGTCTACTGTATACCATGGACTGTTCTAGACATCAGAAAGCAGAAGTGAGAGACCCAAACCCTGTGCCTTGTGTGACGTCGATCCTAGGGGCTATGGAAGGGAACTCTGTGTGTGTTTGTGCACATGTGTGTGTTCCTATGTAACTTTCAATGTTTCCTGCCAACAAAAGCATTGCTTGGATAATTTAGACATCAGTTAAGAATCACAGGGAACGGGGAAGGTAAAACCAGGTGCTGAGCTGCTTGGTTCAGACTCCACGGGCAGCCAAGCAGAGCAGGCTTCCTGGAGGAAGAGGCACTGGCAGCACAGGCAGGTGCAAGGGGCGGGGCCGCGGGCAGGCTTACGCGCCCCTCCCTGTCCCCTCCAGGTGGTCTACTTCTCGGCCACGTACCCCTACGTCATGCTCATCATCCTGTTCTTCCGTGGAGTCACACTGCCTGGCGCCAAGGAGGGCATCCTGTTCTACGTCACGCCCAACTTCCGCAAGCTGTCCGACTCCGAGGTGAGCAGCCTGGGGTGTGCCGGGGGCAGCCGACTGGTGCGGACAGGGGCCTTGGGGCCCGTGGCTGCGATGACCACTGGACACTTCTGCCTGTAGGTGTGGCTGGACGCGGCTACGCAGATCTTCTTCTCCTATGGGCTGGGCCTGGGCTCCCTGATTGCCCTGGGCAGTTACAACTCGTTCCACAACAACGTGTACAGGTGCCAGCGGCAGCCCAGAGCCCCCTCCTTCCCGGCCCTGCCCTCCCTGGCTTTCCCCTGGGTCCCTGTCACTGCTCTCCCTGGCCCCGCCCCCTGACCTCTGCCCTCCCTGACCCCGCCCCACCTCCCTCCAGGGACTCCATCATCGTCTGCTGCATCAACTCCTGCACCAGCATGTTCGCCGGCTTCGTCATCTTCTCCATCGTGGGCTTCATGGCCCACGTCACCAAGCGGTCCATTGCTGACGTGGCGGCCTCAGGTCAGCGCTGCCCCGCTTGGGGCCCGGGGTTGGCAGTGGGGCTTGCATTGTCCCCCTCACCCTGTGGGTGGCAGAGCACTCACTGCCTGCCAGACACTGCCCCCTGATCTTCCCAGCTCTGCAGTAGATGCTATGTCCCCATGTCACAGGTGGGAAAACCGAGGCTCGCCAAAGCCGCCTGCCCAAGCTCAGAGCTCGAAAGGGGTTTGTGCCCAGATCGGTTTGACTGTAAAACCTGGGCTCTTTGTCTCCCAGCCACCCTGGTGCTTCCTGCACGGCCCTGGATTTTGTAGGGGAAAAGACCCACTCCTGTGCCCGGGCCTTTAAGGCTTGATCTAACCGCGCCAGGTTTCCAGCCATGATGCAAACTCCCTAAGTCTGCTTTTGTCCTGGCTCCCAGAACAGTCTCTCCAGGTGGGCTGTGCCCACTTAGCTCGCCACAGTCTCAGTGCCGCAGGGCCCAGGGAAACCGCAGACAGCCGCCCCCCTACCCAGGGGCCAGGCCAGCAGCAGGCAGGAGGGCCACTGTGTGCACAAAGGCGTCCCTGAGCCGTCTGGAGGGGACAGGGCTTGTCCCCCGGAGCACTGGGCGGGGCCTGGGGAAAGGACGTTGAGCTCCTGGACAATGGCAGCCCCCCCCCCCAGGCCTCCCCGGCCCCTACAGAGCCACACCCAGGTGGCTCCGATGTCTTTGCTCCTCATTCTGTCTTTCCCCTGCTCCTGGACACCCCGGCCAGACCCTCAAACACCACCTGTCCTGGACACACCTCCCATGCCTTCCCCCAGCCTGTGGTCCCCCTTGTGAGAAGGGTCCCCATCCAGTGCCTGGGCCAGAAACCTCAGCATTGCCCTGTGTTCTCCCCTCACCCCCAGCCTGCAGCCTTTGGCCCCCCAAGTATCCCCAGCAGGGGCCGCCTCTGCACGTGCCCCGCCCCTGCCGCTGGCCAGGCCGCTGCAGTCCCCGCCTGGACAGGGAGCCGCTCACCTGCAGCCTGCACCGCGGCCCGGCTGCCCAGCGGTGACTCTGATGTGAGGCTTAGGGACTGGGGGCTGTGCTGGGGCTGCCACGGATGCCCACCACGCTGCCCCTCGTTCCCGCAGGCCCGGGGCTGGCATTCCTGGCGTACCCGGAGGCCGGTGACCCAGCTGCCCATCTCTCCGCTCTGGGCCATCCTCTTCTTCTCCATGCTCCTGATGCTGGGCATCGACAGCCAGGTGACCGCCCCTCCCCCGGACCCCTCCCCCCAGAGGAGGACTCAGAATCTCAGACCCCTAGAATATCCCGAAGCAGCCCTGTGGACTGGCCAAGTCCAGCATGGGAAACAGAAACCCAGAGGGAGGGGACTCCGCTGAGGCCCCCAGGGCCGCAGGGGCAGCGTCAGGCTGGACCCTGGGCCACCCTCCCCCCGCCCCCCAGCCCTGCCGTCTGGGTGCTGCTCAGGCTGTGGGCGGTGGGCAGCTGACCCCGCCCCCCTGCAGTTCTGCACCGTGGAGGGCTTCATCACGGCCCTGGTGGACGAGTACCCCAGACTGCTGCGCAACCGCCGGGAGCTCTTCATCGCCGCCGTCTGCATCATCTCCTACCTGATCGGCCTCTCCAACATCACCCAGGTGGGCTCCGCTGCTGCCCTGGGGCCCTTTCAACGGCCCCTCTCCTCAGCCCTTCCCCCCTCCATGGAGCTGTCTCTCTGCCGAGCGCAGGACACACGGCGCTGAGGCAGATGGCGTCCTGCCTTCTGAGCGTTCCCTGGCTGTCAGAGACACAGACGCTGAGCCAGACAGCGTCGGACAGAGCCAGAGACTGCAGCAGGCAGCCTGGCCTCTGCTCCCAGCAGCCACCCGGAGTCGGGCCTTCGAAGTGAACACTGCCTCTTGTTGCATCCATGAACACTTATCTGTGACCTGTGCACTCACCGTCCTGTGGGCCCAGGAACCACTGTGATCCCGGGTGTTGACGGTGTTGATTCGTTCCCTCGCTCGCACTTGGGAGCACCGGCTGTGGGTCACATGTGTGACACTGGGAATCCAGCAACAGTGTGACAGCTACTGCCAAGTCTGCCCTCTTGGAGCCTGAGTTCCAGTGGGGACGAGGCTGACAGAAGAGGTGCCAGGTGCAGTGGAGCAGAGTGGATACAGCAGGACGGGAAATGGCCAGCAGGGGCCTGGGAGGCCTCTACCTGGGACAGGGGATAGTGGAGGAGGTCTCTAAGGTAAAGTGACAGGTGAGCGGAGACCTAGATGAGGAGGGACAGCCAGGGAGGGGAGGAGAGCATGGCAGGCACTAAGGCCCCGAGGGCGAGGGGCAGAAAGGAAGCCAGTGTGGCGGGAGCAGAGCAGAGCCTGGCAGGCCAGGCCATCTGAGTTAGACTTGATTTGACGTCTCCCTGCTTGCTTATATATCATGTTATTATGTATGTGCTGGGAGGTTCTCAGCAGGGGAGAGGCAGGACCGAGTCACGCATGGACAGACAGCACTGGGGAGCGGCCCCCGGGCCTGGCCTGCTCATGAGGCCCCCGGGGCTACCTGCAGCCTACCCTGAGCCCGTTCTCCAGGCGGTGCTGGGTGCCAGGGGGCCCGGGTGCGGGTGCGGGTGCGGGGGGCCACTCTCACGCTCCCTCCCTTCCTCTCACAGGGGGGCATTTACGTCTTCAAACTCTTCGACTACTACTCCGCCAGCGGCATGAGCTTGCTGTTCCTCGTGTTCTTCGAATGCGTCTCCATCTCCTGGTTCTACGGTGAGCCTCCACCCCTCCTCCTTCATTCATTCATTCACTCATTCGTACTTCAACAGAAGCAGCCAGGACAGCAGGCCCTCTCCCTGCACTGTTCAATCGCTGTGCTCCACAGCTCAGTGCGGTTGGTGCACGAGGTCCGAGTGCAGAAGACAGAGCAACAGTTAGGGTGTGGGCGTGCGGCAGAGAGGCTAAGGGGCTGCGTGGGGCACCCGTATGTATTAGGGTTCAAGACCGGGCTCCACGTCCAGTTCTAGCTTCCTGCCAGTGTGCACCTCAGGGAGACAGCTGGTGATGGCACAGGGGCTTGGGTCCCTGCTGGCCACGGTGGGGACCTCTGCTGAGTTCCAGGTTCTTGGCTGAGGCGGTGCCCTGTCCCCGCTGCTGCGGACAGGGAAGATTCCTGTCCATCGCTCTGTCTCAAATACATACGACTCCACAAAGAACAAATAATTTCACGTAAGCTGGGAGCCAACTAGTATGCGTTGTGGGATAAAAAGGCTTGTTTCACGCTGGGTCTGGAAAAGGGGTGACAGAAGTATAGATCTGACGTCATTCGACAAAAGCTGCCATGATGTAAAGTGTACATCGTCCCTGAGCCAAAAAGCGAAGGAATCAGGGTTTCCTTTCCATCCTGGCCCAAATCTCCGGAGCCCAGGGCCCAAGGGTCCGAGGCCGCACTTCCCTGCCTCTCTGCTGGGACCCAGAGAGCCCAGAGCGTGGATGGAGACGGGCGGCGCCGCAGCCCCCAGGCCTCGCCCTGCCCCGTTTCCGTCCGACCAGACCAGACCGCCTGCCCTTGGGACTTCGCATGCGCAGTGCGCTCTTGAAGCACTCTCGCGAGGCTTAGGGTTCTCCGTAGACATGCGCAGATCTCCGCGGTGGGCTGCACTTCCGGCCCGCCTAGCCTTACCTTTGAGGAGAGGCGGGGACTGTGGGAGGGGACCTGCGACCCCTGACTGTCCATGGCCAGTGAATGTCTCCACCTGGAGGGGCGCGGCTTTTTCTCCCTGGCACACGTGCTATGGGGGTTGACGGTTCGAAGGGTGCTGGGGGCGGCGGCCTGCGGACCCCACAGCTCAGCCGTGTGCCCCGCCCTTGCGCCCCTGTTGCAGGTGTGAACCGTTTCTACGACAACATCCAGGAGATGGTGGGCTCCAGGCCCTGCATCTGGTGGAAGCTGTGCTGGTCCTTCTTCACCCCCATCATCGTGGCGGTAAGGCTGGGGCTGCACGCCTGGGGGTGGGGCGGCTCCCCCCAGGGAGAAACTTCTGGAATCGAGGGCGGGCGGGGGAGGCCCTCGGGCCCAGGTTCGGTTCGCCCCGCCCCTGCCGTGCCGCCCGCAAGGGCTGAGCTGTCCGAGGCGGCCGGCAGGCTCCGGGAGGTGGAGGCCAGGCTGCTGACGTCGGCCCTGGTCCTGGGGCCGGGGTGGGTTACCCCGGGGAAGGGGAGTCCACAGGCTGGAGGGGCTTTTCTCCGAGGCCCTCGTGGAAAGGGGCCTTGCGTGTGGGGGCCCCAGGTGCCGAGCCCCGGGAAGGGTCTGCCCAGGCTGCGGGGCCTTGGTGGCTGGCCTGGGAGGCTGACCACCCCGCCCCTCCCCCTCCGCAGGGCGTGTTCCTCTTCAGCGCCGTGCAGATGACCCCTCTCACCATGGGCAGCTACGTGTTCCCCAAGTGGGGCCAGGGAGTGGGCTGGCTCATGGCTCTGTCCTCCATGGTCCTCATCCCCGGCTACATGGCCTACATGTTCCTCACCCTGAAGGGCTCCCTGAAGCAGGTAAGGCCTCAGCACGCCCGGCACAGCCCCCGCCCAGCTGGGAGACAGCTGCAGAGCCGATGGCACCGTGAAGGGGGCCGCCAGGGACAGGGTTGGAGGCTCCTGTCTCTGTGGAGCCTTGGAGGGGGTAGCTCAGAGGAGGCCTCTGGGGAAAGCCAGAGTTCAAAGTAGATGCAGAAAGGATGTTTCGGGGGGCGGGGAGGGGGGGATGCAAAGGCCCAGGGGTGTTAGCTGCCTTTGGTGAGCGGAGTGAGGTCAGGGTGGGAGGGCTCAGGGTTTGTGATAAGAAATGGGGCAGGGGCGGGAAGAGGTCAGGCAAGGTTGTGAAGGAGTTTTTTGAAGGCCAGAACAGGAACGGGGGACTCAGCCTGAGAGCAGGCGGGTTTGAGCCCATGAGGGGTGAGACTGGAGTAGCAAAGTCATTTCCCTGTGTCTCACCTACGGACTTGCTGTAGACCAGATGTTTTCTCCTCAAGGAAAGACACATTGACCTCCGTGCAGGGCCCCACATCATGTGCCATATGTGGCCCCCAGCAGGAAACCCACCAAAATACACGGACACTCCTCCCAGGACCCCACCATCATACACAGACACTCCCCCCCAGGGCCCCACCATCATACACGGACACTCCCCCCCAGGGCCCCACCATCCTACACTGACACCCCCCACACAGGGTTCCACATCATATGCAGACACTCCCCCCACAGGGCCCCACCATTATACACGGACACTCCCCCCCAGGGCCCCACCATCATACACAGACACTCCCTCCACAGGGCCCCACCATCATACACTGACTCTCCTCCGACACAGGGCCCCACCATCATACACTGACACTCCCCCCACACAGGGCCCCACCATCATACACGGACACTCCCCCGGGGCCACACCATCATACACTGACACTCCCCCCCCAGGGCCCCACCATCATACACTGACACCCCTCCGGGGCCACACCATTATACAAGGACATCCCCCCCAGGGCCCACCATCCTACACGGACACTCCCCCCCAGGGCCCCACCATCATACACTGACACTCCCCCCCCAGGGCCCCACCATCATACACAGACACTCCCCCCCAGGGCCCCACCATCATACGCGGACACCCCCCCCCCCAGGGCCCCACCATCATACACTGACACTCCCCCCCAGGGCTCCACCATCATACACTGACACCCCCCCCAGGGCCCCACCATCATACACAGACACTCCCCCCCCCAGCTCCACCATCATACACTGACACCCCCCACACACAGGGCCCCACCATCATACACAGACACTCCCCCCCCAGCTCCACCATCATACACTGACACTCCCCCCCCAGGGCCCCACCATCATACACAGACACTCCCCCCCAGGGCCCCACCATCATACACAGACACTCCCCCCCAGGGCCCCACCATCATACGCGGACACTCCCCCCCCCAGGGCCCCACCATCATACACAGACACTCCCCCCCCAGCTCCACCATCATACACTGACACCCCCCACACACAGGGCCCCACCATCATACCCGGACACTCCCCCCCCACAGGGCCCCACCATCATACACTGACTCTCCCCCACAGGGCCCCACCATCATACACTGACACTCCCCCCCCCAGGGCCCCACCATCCTACACGATGCTCCCCCACCAGGGCCCCACCATTATACACAGACACTCCCCCCCCCAGGGCCCCACCATCATACACGGATGCTCCCCCACACGGGGCCCCACTATCATACACGGACACTCCCTCCACAGGGCCCCACCATCCTACACTGACACTCCCCCCCCCCCAGGGCCCCACCATCATACAGACACACCCCCCAGGACCCCACCATCATACACAGACACTCCCCCCCAGGGCCCCACCATCATACACAGACACTGCCCCCCAGGGCCCCACCATCATACCCGGATGCTCCCCCCCCAGGGCCCCACCATCCTACACAGACACTCCCCCAACAGGGCCCCACCATCATACACAGACACTCCCCCCACAGGGCCCCACCCTGAGGCACAGGTTGAGGATCCCTTGTTGGAAATGGTTGAGACCAGACGTGTTGGGACCGGGATCTTTGGGGTGTTGGAGTTCTGCACGTAGACGCGGGATGGGACCCAGTGTAAAAGGAGCTTGTTTAGGTTTCCCCTGCACTTTGCACACGCTGTCTGAAGGTGGCGCTGTGCGGCATTCTCAGTGCACCTGTGATTTGAAGGTGACCTCGTGGGAGGGGAGGAGTGGAATTCTCCACTTGTGGCTCCACGTGAATGCCCCAGAGTTTCAGATGTTGGTGCATTTTGGATTTGGGTTTTCGGGTAAGGGTTGCTCAGGCTGTGCTGAGTCCACGCGCTCTCTGTGGACTTGTGCTGACGCTGAGAGGGAACCGAGGCAGGAGGGAGGTGCTGGGCAGAAGAGATGGCCGCTGGTCGGCGATGGTCGGCGATGCTTCGGGCGAGGCCTCCCTGAGGCCAGGTGGGGTCGGGATGTGCAGGGCCACAGCCAGAACCCGGGGTCACCGCCCACTTGGTTGTGGTGCCCCTGCCACTGGCGGCCAGGAGGGGCGTGCTCAGGTCTGAGGTGGGGGCCCACCCCCCCCCCCCGATGGGACCAGAGGCCCTGAGCGGGGGCTGCTTCCCCAGGCCCGCAGTCTGTTGTTGAAGAGCCAGGGCTTGCATCCTGCTCCTGCAACGCTGCGTCCAAGGCTTTTGTTTTCCGTGGAGCGTCCAGAGCTCAGGGAGGAGGGGTGCCCGTGCAGAGGCAGGCTCGGCCTTTGCCCAGGCCTGTGGTGGGCAGAGCAGGAGCAGGGGGTGCCTGCAGCAGAGGTACTGGGACTCAGCACTCAGTACCTGCTGTGTGCCGCTCACTGTCGTCCGTGCTGGGGGCTCAGCTGCAGAGGGAGTGAGCGGGAATGCCAGCTGCAGAGGGGAGAGGAGCCCTGAGCACAGTGAAGCCACATGAGGTGGGCCGTGGGCTCTGAGCAGTGGGGGGCAGGCTTGGGTGTGCTGGGGCCTCGGCGGGGAGGCGACACAGCTGAGCTGAGGCCAGAGGAGGCACTGCAGCTGCAGAGGCCCTGGCCAGGAGCCTGCCTGGTACCTGATGGGCGGGGGCGGTGACGCGGAGGCCTGTGACGGACAGCGCCCAGATTGGTGGCAGGCCCTGTGGGCCTAGATTGCTCTTGTGGTCAAACAGCAGCTCTTAGGGGTCCCGGCAGGTGGAGGGCGCAGTCTCTCAGTGGTGGCTCAGGGACCCCCTGCTGCTGTGTCGGGAGCAGGGCACGAGGAGGGGTGGGAAGGGATGGGGGCTGGGCTGGACCCAGGGGCGGAGGGCAGAGGATGTGCATGTGGGGGCTGGCTGGAGCTGCAGCGTGGCTGAAGGCAGAGCAGACGACGGGGTGGGGGCGGAGCTACTGGGCTGAGCCTCACGCCCGCCCGCGATGCCCACAGCGCATCCAGGTCATGATCCAGCCCAGCGAGGACCTCGTGCGCCCCGAGAATGGCCCCGAGCAGCCCCAGGCCAGCAGCTCTGCCAGCAAGGAGGCCTACATCTAGGGCTGCGGCCGCCTGCCGAGCGACGCTCTCCCCCCGGCCCGGCTGAGCGTGACCACCACTTGACGTCTGAGGATCCCTTCTCTCTGAACCTACCTCGGGTGGCGAGTCTGGACCCATCCCCTCACATGCAGGGGAGGTGGGCACAGCCAGCCCGGGGTGGGAGTGGGGGGCTCGCCTGGGCTTCCAGCAATTGGCAGGCTGGCATCCTTTCCCACGGAGACCCCTGTAAGCATCAGGTGGCTGTGTTGCACCTGCTGCGGCCATATCCTTTCCGTCCTGCCGGCGAGCCTGCCCGCCGGGCCACGCCCTCCTGGCTTCCAGCGCTTTCCCGACTGTTCTCTCCCCGCCCAGACCCATGACTGTTATCCCGGACTTGGAGGGGTTCGGCCTGCACGCGTGTGAGCGGCGTCTGGTGCACGCGGGCTCTGGCGCAGCTCTCACCTCCATTTTCTGGCCCCTTCTTCCCGAGGCAGCTTCACGAGGCCCCCGCAGACCGCAGTCCAGGTCTGCAGTGCCGCTGCCCTCCCCACCCCACCCCACCCCACCCCGTGAATGAGTAGCAGCAGGAACCGCAGCTCTGCAGCTGGGTGCTCCGCCCCTCTCCCCAGGCGCCCAAGCACACCCCTCGGGGAGCCGCTTCTCTTTCGATGCCCAGTTTGGCCAAGCATGGAGGGTCTGCGGAGGAAGCCCCGGGGAGGGCGCCGCCTGGGAGTCGGGGCACATGCCGTCGACCCCGGCTTCTGTCGGAAACGAGCGGACTCACTGCCAGCCCGTGGCGAGCTGCTGCCTCCTCCCCTTCCTGCAGATTCCTGCTGGCACTCAGACCTCCCCAGCCCCGCCAACCCTGAGGCCGCACCCCGCGCTCCTTCCTGGAGTTGGGATCCACGGAGTGCGTGTGCTGCAGCTGCGGCCGCTGGCGTGCCGGGACAGGGGTTCCCGTGCAGCAGCGCGTCCTTGTGCCCCGTAGCTCCTTAGCGCGTAGCTCAGACTGTGTTCGATGATTAATCCCTAGTAAGTGTGGTAATAACTGTGACTTGTCCTACCTGAAAGTGACCAGCACACCAGATCTTGCAATAAGCTATCACCCTCAGAGTATTAAGCACAGTATTGTAGAGAAAAAAATCTGCGTCTACTACCGACGTGCACCCAGCCGTGCTTGCCCCCACGCGTGGCGTGTGGGACCCCATGTGGTCCGCGTAGGAAGTGTGTGCCGTAGTCTCAGCGCTAAGACACCCCAGCCGCCACGTGGAGAGGCCAGGACCCAAGCACACGTGGACTGTCCCACGCCAGGGTCTCCAGCAGACCCCACACTGTGTCTCCTGGTCCCCCTCCCCGCCCGTGTGTGAATTCCTTTAGGCTAAGGGCAAGAAGACTGCTCACTTCCTCCTCGTTCTTCCATGTGAAACAAGTCCAGTCTCTCTCCGCTAAATGCAGTATTTCTCCCGTCCCTGAGCGATTCTAACTGTGGTATGTGGCAAGGGATCCCCTAACCGATCTCTGCCCAGGCCAACTTCATAGAGCACAATACTCCGTGTCGTACACTTGCTGTGAGAACTGTGAATATGTGTGTGTGGTTTTTTTTTTTTAGTATTTGCCCAGGAGGAGGGAAAGATACTGTATTATCATATATGCTTTTTTTTGCAATAAGGATTTATTCTCAGAACACCAAGTAAATCTATCTCTATATAAAAATATATGTAATATATACATATTCAAACTATATACAGAGCCTGTTTAAAAAAAAAGACAGTATTATTTAGTAAAATTATCTGTTCTATGGACCAAATGTAAAATATTTATAAATGAAGATGCGTTTTAAATGTCTATAAATGGTGTCATAACCAGAGCACGGGCGTTATGTCAGTTTCTAAGGATTTAGAGGAACAATAATAAAGGTTCTATGATACGCAGCGTCAGGCACTCAGTTCTTGGGGCTGGGGACACAGCAGGCTCTTTCGTGGAGCAATGGCGCAGACACAACGCTCCCTTTCCCCCAGAGGAAGGCCTGGCTCGGAACCCAGCCCGGGGGAGCTGCGCTTCGCGGCCGTCTGAACAAGTAGGCAGCAGGGACTCCGCGCTTCCCTGTGCACGTGGACAGCTCAGTAGAAAGATGCCCAGAGCTGCAGGGCAGCGGCTGGTGTCCGCATAGCCTTTGAGATGCCAGCTGAAACACCCCCACCCTTATCAGAGTGAGGGCCTGGGTTCGAGTCGTGGCTCTATCCGCGATCCCAGCTTCCTGCAGGCCCTGGGAGGCAGCAGGTGGAGACTCAAGTACCTGGGTCCCCGCCACCCTTGTAAGAGACCTGCACAGAGCCCAGGCTGCTGGCTTCAGCCTGGCGGGCGCTGGCTGCTGCAGGCATTTAGGGAGTGGGCGGGCAGACGGCAGCGCTCTGTGACAAGGGCCATCCCGGGAAGGGGAACTGGTGACAAAGATACAGCAAGGGACAGCAGCTCACCCTGTTGTGGAAGAGGCTGGGGGGCCGGGCTGCGGGCGGGGGTCTTGGGGGTGAGGAGGAGGGGCATGCTGTCACCTTTGCAGGGCTCACTGAGCACCCACAAAGCGCGGGGGGTTGAGCCAGACTCAGGGCCAGCACTAGATGAGCATGCTGTGTCCACCCCACACCAGCCTCAGGCACGGTTGGATTCAGGTGCTCAAAGGGTGGGATAGGGCCTCAGTGTCTCCACCTCCCACCTCTGCCTGCCCCTGCAGTGGCTGCAGGAAGGGAAGAAACCAAGGCTCCTGCAGCTCAGGCTCCCCTCCCTACACGCCGGCAGCCACACTGAGTGTCGTGTCCCCCTGGGCCGCAGTCCTGGGAACCGGGTCCCACGGGACCAGCCTGAAACACCTGACTGTTTCCTCACTGTTCACTGTGGCCAGGAGGACAGTGAGGATGGCATAGGCTTGGCCACCTCTTGAATTAGCTCCAATAATAAAGATTAAGAAGCAGCAGAGGGGGGCCGGCGCTGTGGCATGGCAGGTTAGTGCCCTGACCTGAAGTCCTGACATCCCATATGGGCGCCGGTTCAAGACCCTGCTGCTTCACTTCTGATCCAGCTCTCTGCTGTGGCCTGGGAAAGCAGTAGAAGATGGCCCAAGTCCTTGGGCCCCTGCGCCTGTGTGGGAGACCCAGAAGAAGCTCCTGGCTCCTGGCTTCTGATTGGCACAGCTCTAGCCATTAAGGCCATCTGAGGAATGAACCAGCAGATGGAAGACTCTCTCTCTCTCTCTCTCTCCCCCCCTCTCCTCTCTGTATAACTCTGACTTCCAAATAAATAAATAAGTCTTAAAAACAAAAAAAAAAAACACCAGAAAGGGGTCCCAGAGGCTCAGGGAGGGAACAGGGGCTGGACAGGCACCCAGCAGCCCTGAGCCCTTCCATGCTGTGGGTCTCCCTGATGACGCTGGGCCCGGGGCCCCATCTCCAGCACGAAGCCCTTGTGCCATGGACCCTCTGAGGGCAGGTGGACAGAAACTGGTGTGGTGGAGTGGGGGGGGAGGGGTCAGCAACATTGCTTCTGCCCAGTCCAGGCTGCCACCATCACTCCCATGGACACAACTTGTCCCCTGTCCCCAGGCCTGCCCCCACGGTCCACAGTGCCACAGCATCCAGTGTGAGCCATCGAAACACAAAGCTGCTCGTGCCTCCCTGGGCTAACTCCTGCCACGCAGGAATCAGTTCCATCTCCCTCCCCTGGCCTGTGACGCTAGCAGAGCCAGTCACCTTCCAGCTTTCTGACCTTGAAACTGCTCAGCTCCTCATCAATGGCCTCTCTCCACCCCGGGAGCCCCCAGCCTGTCCCCAGCACAGGCCCTTTGCACTCACCATTCCCTGAGCTTGGTGGCTGCAGGGTCACCAAGGGAGCCTTGCCTTGGCCTGGAAGGTGAGGGATTAGGGTGCCCTAACCAAAGAAAGCCCCAGAGCTGCTGTCAGACCATGGTGGGCCGAGCCCATGTGAAGATGAAGGATGAGGAAGAGTTGTTGGAAGGAGGCGGGGGCAGAGTAAGCAAAGCTCCAGGGGCTTGGAACACAGTTCCAGGCGGAGGGGCACCTGCTGCTCATGCTCTGGGGGCCTCGGGGCCTTAGCCTTGCCGTTCCTCCTGCCTGCTCCACTCTTCCCCGGATACCTCACATTGGGTCTTCCCCTTCTCTGGGTCCCTGCTGAAATGTCAGCTCCTCACTGAGTCACGGGTCAGAGGTGGTGGGATGGGTGGGTGGGAAGATGGATGTGTGGGTGGCCGACTGGATGGATGAGTGAGTGGGTGGATAGATGGGTAGGTGTGTATAAGTATGTATAGATGGATGGACAGGTGGGTGGATGTGTCGGTAGATGGATAGATGGACATATGTAAGCAGGTGTGTATGGTGGATGAGTGGGTAGATGGATGGATGGATGGATGGATGATGGGTAGGTGAGTAGGTAGACAGGTTGCTGGGCTGGTGGACAGCCTTCCGTGTGAGTTCTGGCCTCTGCTCCTTACTCTGCAGCTCTGAACACGTGACTTAAATCTCTTGTGTGCCTCAGTTTCCTTCCAAAGTTGTCATTAAAAAAAGTGAGTTAGAACTCAGCCCACCCAGAGCAGTGGTGAAACAGCAGGTGCTGGGACAGCAAGGCTGCTTCCACAGTGTCCCCTGGGAGGTCCATGCCCCACCCAGAGCCCCGGGTTTGAGGAGTGTCGATCAAACTGTGGCTTGCTAATTAGGCCCCTACCCTCTCATCAGATGTGGCTGCAAATCGGAGCTCCTGACTTCCCGGGGCCAACCAGGGTGACTGCGGCTGAGCTGATCTGGTTCCAGGACAAAGCCAGCAGCACAGCATTTGGGGTCCCCAGCTTACCTGGGGACTCACTTCCTTAGGGCTCTCGGAGAGGTGGAGAAGGAGGTGGGAAAGGCCCCCCGATCTCTGCAGGGACCCCCAGAAGCCCAGAGCCTCAGACGCAGTTCCTATCTCTGCCAGCTCACAGGATGCGTGGAATAGACCTCGTGTGTCCCCCTTCACAGACCACAGCCACGCAGACCACACAGGGCAGTGAACCCTGTCCAGGCAGGCCGACCCAGCGCCTGGTCCTGTCAACCACAAAGATGTTAGACACAGACAGGGTCAGGGCCGCAAGCTCGCACCGCGTGCTTGTCCGCTCCC